TATAAAGAAATGTATAATGTAACTAAAAAGGATTAGAAATGACTTATATAGCCCCAGCTGGTTTGGCTCAGTGGATAGAGTGTTGGCCTGTGGACTGACGGGTCCCAGGTTCGATTTCGACCAAGGGCACATGCCCGGGTTGTGGGCTTGATCCCCAGTAGGGGGCGTGCAAGAGGCAGCCAATCAATGATTCTCTCTTATCATTGATGTTTCTATCTCTCTCTCCCTCTCCCTTCCTCTCTGAAATCAATAAAGAAATATGCTAAAAAAAAAAAAAAAGAAAAAGAAAGAAATGGCTTATATAGTCTGGCAATGGGAAGAACTACTAGGCAGACCCAGGAGGTGGGGGGATGGGTGTTGCTGCAACAGAATATTAAATGCCTTTGGAATGTTGAAAAACTAACATTTATTGAACACTATGTGCACTGGGCAGAGATCTTTTTTGGGGGGGAGGGGGAGCAGAGGTCTTGGCATGCATAGTCTCATTTCATATCCTTGAGCATCTTCTGAGGTAGGTATTTTTTTTTAATATTTTTTTATTGACTTCAGAGAGAACGGGAGAGGAAGAGAGAGATAGAAACATCAATGACGAGAGAGAATCACCAGTCTGCTGTCTCTTGCATGCCCCACACAGGGGATCAAGCCCACAACCCGGGCATGTGCCCCGACCAGGAATCGAACCATGACCTCCTGGTTCTTAGGTCGATGCTTAATGACAGCCACCCTGGCTGGGCTGTATTTTTTTTTTTTAAGGAAGCACTAACATTTTATTTTATTATATTTATTTATTTTTAATCCTCACCTCAGGATATTTTTCCATTGATTTTTAGAGAGAGAGGAAGGGAAGGGGGAGAGACAGAGAGAGAGAGACACATCAGATGGTTGCCTCCAGTACATGCTCCGACCAGGGCTGGGGATCGAGCCTGCAACCAAGGTATGTGCCCTTGACCGGAATGGAACCAGAGACCCTTCAGTCCATGGGCCCACACTCTATCCACTGAGCCAAACAGGCTAGGGCCTGAGGTAGGTATTATAGCCATTTTTTAAAGATGTTAACTGAGGCCCTGAGGAGTTAAGTCACCCGACCAGTTAATAAATGATGACATCAGGACTCAGATCCAGAGGTCCACCCGCCTCCGAAGGCCATGCCCTAACCTTTACACCCTACTGCCTCCGACAGTTGCATGTGAGGACCATGCACAAACAGAGAAATGCATGTATGAAAGTGGGGAAAAACCCTCGAAAGTGGTTATGTTGATATTAGAATGTTGGCATCAACCCTGGGCTTGGAAATTTAAATAGGTAATTCAGGATGCTGGGAACTTACTTGGGGCTGCTAGAGTTTAAATGTTTCTGCTCAATTTTTGGTAGTAGAAATGATGAAACATAACACCTAAGTGAGGAGGTGAGCACGGATGACAGGGCCTTTCTAGTTCTAATATGTACTTTCCTAGGGGAGCCGATTAGGAAGGTATAGCTGTACTTCCAGGAGAAGAGACCAAACATCTGATCACATGACTCTCCTGTTTCAAGCTTTCCCTTACTCCACGTTGCCTGCACCACTGGTTCTCAGCCTTGGAATCACCTGAGAAACTTTAAAAAGGACAGATATCCAGGCCCTGGCCGATGTGGCTCAGTGAATAGAGCATCAGCTTGTGGGCTGAAGGACCCCAGGTTCGATTCCGGTCAGAGCACATGCCTGGGTTGTGGGCTCCATCCCCGGTGGTGGTGGAGGTGGCGGGGAGGGCGTGCAGGAGGCTGCTGATTAATGATTCTCATCATTGATGTTTCAATCTCTCCCTCTCCCTTCCTCTCTGAAATCAATAATAATATAAAAAAGTAAATAATAATAATAAAAACTACAGATATCCAGGTCTATGTCCAGAAAGTCTTATTTAATTGACAGTGGTGTCACTTTGGCATTGGAAGTTTTAAAACCTCCTCAGGTGATTGCAACCTGTAGAAACATTTGCAAACCACTGGCCAACATGATAAGGCCTAAGCTGTGCGCTAGGCATAGAAGGCTGATTTCTGTAAGCTCTCCCATATCCTTATTTTCCCCGTTTTCAAAAATCCAGCTACAATGTCCTGGACATGCGGTGCCCTATTTACTTGCCCTGCTATTTATTGCCTTTCCTCGGCCTGGAATGCCTTTCTCCTCCCTTGTCCATCTGGGAAATTCCATTCATCTTCAATGCCATGGTAGCCAGCCTCCAAGACAGTCCCCAACGAGCCCCACCTCCTGGTAGCCAAGCCCTGGTGTCCCCCTCTCCCCCACTGAATTGGCCTGTCCTGTGTATTAATATGACACCGTGGGAATGAGGGAGCATGGCTTCCCAGGATGGGGAGACGCTGTGGCTTCGTTTACTCCCCTGGATCACTTGCTGTGGGAGAAGCCAGTTGCCACGGCTGGAGCAGCAGCCTCATGGAGAGCTCCGCCTGTTGAGAAACTGAGGCCTCCTCTACGGCCATGTGACGGCCATGTGACGGCCATGTGAGTGAGCCAGCGGGGAAGGGGATCCTCCAGTCCTAGTCAAGCCTTCAGATGATGGGAATCGAAGCTGTCATCTTTGTGTTGTTGTTGTTAATCCTCACCTGGGGCTATTTTTCCCATTGATTTTCAGAGAGTGGAAGAGGGTGGGGAGAGACACAGAGAGAGAAACTTCGATGTGAGAGAGACACATCAATCGGTTGCCTCCTGCATGCTCCGCTACTGGGGCCAGGGATCGAGCCTGCAACCAAGGTACATGCCCTTGACCAGAATCGAACCCAGGACCCTTCAGTCCACAGGCCGGTGCTCTAACTACCAAGCAAAACCAGCTAGGGCCCAGCCAGCATCTTTATTTTTTAAAAATATTTTTTTTATTGATTTCAGAGAGGGAGGGAGAGGGAGAGGGAGAGGGAGAGGGAGAGGGAGAGGGAGAGGGAAAGGGAAAGGGAGAGGGAGAGGGAGAGGGAGAGAGAGAGAGAGAGAGAGAGAGATAAGAGATAATTATCGATTGGCTGCCTCCTGCATGCCCCATACTGGGGATCAAGCCTGCAGCCCGGGCGTGTGCCCTGACTGGGAACTGAACCATGACCTCCTGGTTCATAGGTCAATGCTCAATCACTGAGCCACACCAGCCAGGCCCAGCTGGCATCTTGACTGCAACCTCATGACAAACCTTAAGCCAAACCACTCTTGAATTCCTGAGCCACAGAAAGCGTGAGATGCTTGTTGCTCTAAGCTGCTAAATTTGGGGACTATTTATTATGCAGCAATAGATAATTAATACAAACACCAAGCTCAAGTATATGATACTCTCTGGCGCCTTTTTATTCTGCTGAGGTTGAGCCCACCCTGTGCCACTTCTGTGCCTCATACACGCCCTGTTTAGCACTCATCAAGCTGCTGACTTGCCTTCCTTGTTCTCTAGATTCAGTCCCTGAGGACGGTGCCAGCCATAGCACACAGTACCTCAGTAAGTGCTTGCAGAATAAGTGAACACACATGAGAACTGCCATCTCAGTAGCTTCTCACAGGCCTTCTAGCCAGGCTTCTTCTTACACAAAAACTCCAAGGTGTGACGGCTGGGAATCATGGATGTCGTGGCGAGTGGGACCTGAGGTTTTTCTTAGTAATCCAAACAAGCCCTGGTGCCCCTGGATATATCTAAAACACTAGACTGGGAGTCAGATCTGAATTTTGACTCAAGTTTGCCAGCTACTTGTTGAGGTTCTCTGAGCTCTGGTTTCCTCACGAACCAAATGATGTAAGGGCTCTTCCAACTCTAAAACTTAATGATTCTATTTTTTTCAGCCAGCAAATACTCTTGTTTCATAGAAGAGAAAACAGGTTAATAGTTTTATCTCTCTTCTTTGTAATGCTCACCAGAGGAGTGAGGATGTTTTTTAGATAGAGGAGTAGAGAGGAGGGAGGGAGAGAGAGGAAGAAACGATCTAACCACTGAGCACACCAGCCAGGGCAAAGCTAATAGTTTTTCTCTCTCTCTCTCTCTCTCTCTCTCTCTCTCTCTCTCTCTCTCTCACACACACACACACAGACACACACACACACACACACACACACACATCCCTGGGCTCTACCCTATACCTTAAATCAGCATCTCTGGAGATATGGCCAGAACATGTTTTTTGTTCCTCCTCACTCAAGGATATTTTTTCCATTAATTTTTAGAGAGAATGGAAGGGAGGGAGAAAGAGGGGAAGAGGGAGAGAGAGAGGGGATGGGGAGCAAGAAACATCAATTTATTGGTTCCACTTACTTATGCACTCACTGGTTGATTCTTGTATGTGCCCTGACTGAGGATCGAATTTGCAACCTTGAGGTATTGGGAAGACACTCTAACCAACTGAGCTACCTGGCCAGGGTAGGATATGTGTATTCGTATGTAGTTTCAAAGTGATTCTGATGTGCGTCTAGAGTTGAGAATCACTAATCTATAATATATGAGTTAGAGATTTAAAAATACCATTCTGCCAGTTGGTTGGCTCCATGGTTTGTACGGCACTTATGGTTAACTTTATGTGAGGTAGGTGGATGGATGGATGGGTGAACGGATGGAGCCAGCCCATCTCTACTGGCAGAAAAGCAATTCACGGTGCACTGTCAGGACTGTCATTTCTTCGACAAAATGGCTCTTTATATGACCCAACGCACGGGGCATTTACTGGAGCTCAGACTGTGGGCTACCTTAGCTTACTCGGGGTGAAGAACCATTTTGTTTTTGTGAGACAGGAATGAACAGGAATTAAGAGCACTGCCTTTGGAACCCGGCAGTTGAAGTTCAAGTCCTGGCAGCACCAAACTTTCTGAACCTCACTTTCCTGATCTGTTGAAAGGGGATAACACGCATTATTTCACAGGAAAGTTGTTAGGATTAAATGTATTTACAATGTATGTAAAGCATTTAGCACAGTATTTGGCACAGAATAAGTGCTCATTTAGTAGCACTCTGCAGTAAAAATAAAATATGGCACATTTCCTATTAATAGCAACATAGATTGGTCCAGTGCTTTATAAATTACAAAGTGCTCTTACATTTTACATGGAACGCACCCCCCCACTCTCCCCAAACACTGAGGGGGCAAGGCAGACATTAGTGACCCCATTTCATAGAAAAAGAAAGGTTCACTGGTTCCAGATCAAATGGCAAAGAAGTACCAGTGTTTAGATTCAGACCTGGGTGTGAATCCATGAAGATGAGTAATTATATATGCACACTTGGCAGGAATCTAGGGACCACCTGGCTTCGCAGGCTGATGAGGACTGTCTTTCTGAGAAGCTTCTTTTTTTAGATGAAAGCAAGATGGAAAAATAAGCTGGCAAACTGCTTTCCCTCACTTTCCACACTGGTGTGATTTGTGCTCAGTTCTGCCTTCCTTCTAACTCGCAACTGCTACACGTCCATGTATCTTATTTGCTCCAGCTGCCCTTGGCTGCATCGTCCGGTGGCTCTGCCCTGGGCCCTACAGCTGGGATCTGAGAAAACCAAAGAAAAAAAGCAGGGGCAGCTGGAGACATCAGAGGGCTGGGCAAATACCAGCTGTTCCCAAGTCTGGCTGGGGAACAAGAACCCGCTGGTGTGGGGGAGGGGACAGCAATCCCTGCTCCCCATGTCAGTCAACAGGAGGATGCGTTTCCCTGTCCAGCAGATAGGCCTGCTCCTGGAATAATGTAAGAAAGTACAATACCAGATATGGCACAGAATAGATTTCTCTTGGGCAACAGGAGGCCAAGAGAGCAAATGTTAGTTGAAATTCATAAAAATGGCTTCCACAGAAGAGGTGGAGCTAGAACGAGGCCCAAGGGTCAGCCATATTTGGATATACAGTGAGGCAGTTGGGAAGGCCCCTCCAAGCCAGAAAAGACCAGGGGAGAGGGCATGCACGTTAGTTTGGGGAAGGGGTGGGCATGTTAAGGGGAATGCGGAAAAAGCAGAGTGCCTGGGAGGAAGCAGAGGACAGAAGTGGGGCAAGACCAGACAGAATGAGGGGGTGAGATGCAACTGAACAGGGAAAAGAGAGCCCAGTAGAGTCTAGACAACGCAGTGACAGCGACATGAAATGCCAGCCCTCCTGACGGACCAGCCAGTTCAACCACCACCACCCTACATCCAGGTTTACCTATGGGAAGCTGAAGTCACGAGAGGAAAAGCATACGCACAAGGCCATAGATCGAGAGACTGTGAGGGTTGAGACAAGAACCCAGGGCTCCAATCAGTTTGGTCTTCTCTCCATTGGACCACCTTGCCAGGCTGGTATTTTGATCTAAAAGTGGTGTTTCAGGCAGATCTGGCAGCAGAATGCAGCGGAAAGGAGAAGTGAAGAGTCCAGGAGACTGTAAAAATGACTTCCGGGGTGAGTCCACGGGAGGGACTAGGCTGGAATGAAATGGAAAGGATGGGCTGGGAGTGAGATCCACCAAGTGGGAAGAAACAAAAGAACTTGGCAAGAACTTGGCAGGAAATCAGATATGGCCGTGAGGGAGAGAGCTGTGTGGAGGTAACTCGCAGGCCATTCTCAGGCTGGGGAAGTTTCTCCTGAGGTCACGGGGTACTTTACTCTGACCCCCGCCTCTGAGGCAGCAGATAAGAATGAACACAACCGGTCCCTCCTACAAATCCCTATCCCACGTCCTCTACACAGACCTCCTCTGAGTACCCCATTCAACATTTTAGGACCTTTCGTTTACATCTGGTGCACAGATGAGTGTGTTTGGATGATCAGGTATGAAATTAAAAACCCAAACTAGACCCTGGTAAAGAGAGCCTGCAAGGCTAGAACTACGGTGGATTTTGATGTTTGCTGTGAGGGGCAGGGAAATGAGAGCAAAGAGAATGGAAAAATTCTCTCTCTTCCTCTGGCTCCACCCTCACACAATGGAAGTAGCTGAGTGGTGGTTAGCAGGCTTCATGTGAGGGAGGTAACTGTGAAACAGGAGAAGGTGGAATGGGAACTTAGACCAAGACCACCTGGGGCTGTTGAGGACAAGGGCAAATTACACCTCACCTTATAGGTAAGGAGGACCGAATAAAAGAACACCAATAGTTAATGTCTAATAATCCCTTAGTACAGACACTGTGCTAAATGCTTTCCATGCATTGTTTCACTTATTACAACTCTAAGCGGGAAGCACTATTAGAATTGCCATTTTATAAATGAGAAAATTGAAGCTCATATAAGTTAATACATTAGCAAAAAGTCACAGGGATAATAGTGTTGGAGCTGTCTGATTTCAAAGACCATGTTCTTAGTTCCTGAACTGCTTTCCTCACCTGTCATGGGTGAGAACACCCACCCCACAGTCTTCAATGAAGATCAATTCTCTCCAATCCACTTCTCGGTAGTGCTAAGGACATCACTGAATCTCAATACAAGTCATATAGAAACTGCTGGCCCTGGCCAGTGTGGCTCAGTGACTAGACTGTGGGCCCGCGCACCAAAAGGTCATGGTTTGACTTCCAGTCCAGGGCACATACCTGGATTGCAGGTTCGATCCCTGGCCCTGGTCAGGGGGTGTATGGGAGGCAACCAACGGATGTCTTTTTCATACTTTCCCTCTTTCCCCCTGCCCTTCCTTCCACTCTCTCTAAAAATCAATGGAAAATAATATCCTCAGGTGAGGATTAACAACAAAAAATTAAAACAAAGAAATTGCTGGAAAAATTGACATTCTTGATTCGATCTATCATGAAATTATATTCCTCATACCCTGACAGTTTAAAGAGACAGGGGGAGGTGCAAAACCAAGTATGTGTATTAGGTAGTAGGGCCCAGTGGTTGAGAGCTTGGACTTTGATGCCTAAATCCCAGCTTGGCCAAATTCTCGCTGTGAGAACTTAATCAAATCACTTCTCTACGGCTCTGTTTCCTCCTACACAAAATGAGGCTGATGCCACCTGACCTCCCGGGGTCACTGTAAAAGCAAATGTGATGAGGCTTGTAAAGCACTGAGCACAGTCCCTGACACGCACCCAGGGCCTCACCAATGCTGGTTATTACAGTGATTATCAGCATCGTCGTCGTCGTCGTGGTCACTGCCACGCAGCGATGGCCAAGGACACTTGATCTTTGCATCTGGCCGTGATGGGACAGAGTGAGCTTCCTAATGAGGACCAGGTCCCGAGTACAGTGTATGGCCTCTCCTGTCACTCTGTCACTTGGCAGGTCCAGGGGTAAGTGGTGCCCCAGAAGAAAAAGGGGGCAGATGCAGGTCCCCGCAAGGCCAACACATGAAGTTGTGATATTTCAAGAGCCCAGTGGACTTCCTGAGGAAGGGCCAGGGGGCAGTTGTGTTGGAAGCATTGCAAGAACCCAACCAGCCTCAGCCTGATGCTTCCAGGAAGTGGGAGGGACAGGAGTCTCATTCCATCCGGTGCTGACTCACCTCCCTTCCTAACTGACATACCCTGCCCGGCTCAGAACCTTCACAATACGCCACCAGGAGGCCTCCATGAGCACAGTTCCATAATGGCATGGGAACAAGATGCAAAAGAAACCCAAGACACCTTTGCTTCTCGAAAAGAGTCACCAGAACGCAGTTTATCAGCCCATGACAATTACTATGTAGGATTATCTTGCTTTTCTAAAGGCCATGTATCTGGTGTCCTTCTATTCCCGGGAAGCTAACCAAGGCAAAGGACCAAAAACCCTGCTATACCCCCTCTGAGCAAAGGAAGGGTTACAAATTCTAAGCACTAAAGGCAGTGCATTTTAGTTGCAGGAGAGTCCCTAAAGCCCTCTCTCAGTAACTACCTACTTTTACTTTAGACAGTTGTAAATAATGTAGCTGATCTGAATAAATCTGAAGTGAATGGGAGAGCTGCTCGGGGCTGGCACATCGAAGGCAATGGAGAGTAATGGCTGGGTGCCTGACCACAGGGAGATGACACAGACTATGAAATGCAATCCCAGGATAAGAGGACAGCTGCTGGGAGGCATGTAGTATAGGTGCAAAAAGGCTATCATATCTTCACAGGCCAAAGGATGCCACTGCACTGCCCCTGAGCCTGGCCACAGATATTCTGGCTCTCCTGGGATGCCATGAGATGTTAGGTATGGCCAGATGACTTGCTTGGGCCAATGACATATGGATGGAAATAATGAGTGTTACTTCTGGGCAGAAAGCTTCCCTATGCTCTTCCAACACTTCCAGACGGTGGCAGCTCTGCCAGCCCGAGTCCCCAAGTAAGGATAAAAATGACACAGAGCCTGGCTGGCATGGCTCAGTGATTGAGCATCGACCTGTGAACCAGGAGGTCACGGTTCAATTCTCAGTCAGGGCACATTCCCAGGTTGTGGGCTCAATCCCCAGTATGGGGTGTGCAGGAAACAGCCAACCAATGATTCTCTCCCATCATTGATGTTTCTATCCCTCTTTCTCTCTCCCTTTCTCTCTGGAATCAATCCTATATAATAAAAGCCTAATATGCTAAGTGTCCAGTCGTCCATTTAACCAATCAAAGTGCAATATGCTAATGATATCTTGCTTTTCTAAAGGCCATGTATCTGGTGTCCTTCTATTCCCGGGCTAAGGCTGCTCAATCGCTCGCTATGACGTGCACTGACCACCAGGGGGCAGACGCTCTGACTGGTAGGTTTGCTTGCTGCTGGGGTCTGGCTGATCAGGATTGAGTGAGATGGGCCAGACATTCCCTGGAGGCCTCCCGCGGTCCCTCCCAGGCTGGCCAATTTCCTGCATCCCTCCCCGGCACCAGTGGGGTCCCTCGGCCTGGCCTGCGCCCTCTCGCAGTCCGGGCTGAGGGACCCCCTCACCTCTGAGTGCACGAATTTACGAATTTTGTGCACTGGGCCTCTAGTAAAAATATATTTTGTAAAAAATGACCCTCCAGCTGACCCCCAGAGGACAAGTAGCATGGACAAAGAATAAACTTCTGTTGCTTTTCCGGGTTGCTTGCTACTACCATGTAATATAGTCTATCATGACTGAAACATTCTAAACATTTAAATGAGGTCAATTCACATTAAGAGATATGTGCACTATCTTTTTGGTAAGTTACCATTCAAAATAGTCAATGCTATGTTTTGTGGCTTAAAGAATCATTTTCAATTACAGGGAAAATCCACCTGCTCCAATGTTGCTAGATAAATGAGTCACTGACAGAATACGAACTGAATGGAGGAGAGACAGATCCAGTTTCCAAACAACTTCTTTCTCTAGGGAGGCTCCGGTCTTTACAGAATATACCTGCATCATGTAGGGCAGAGAGCAGGTGGGGCTCATGTGCTAAAGCTGCAGAACCAGTCCAGGCACATGGGGTGGCATCGGCCGCTTGTGAGTGCTGAGGGGCTCTGGTCCCCAGCGGGGGTGGAAGGCCCTATTGCATATCTGTCTGCGCTCTCATGGAAGGAAAACCACCATGCTGTTGACTGAGCCAACAACTTGAGAATATAGTCTTTTTAAGCGTACAAGGAACATTTACAAAATTTACCTCATACTGGCCCACAAACAAGTTTCAGGATGAAAACCATATGGGTTATTTTTCTGACCAAAAGCAATTAAGCTTGAAAACAACAGCTACAGGATAACTGGAAAAATCTTGTATATTTGGAAAATAGGAAACATACTTTTAAATAATCCATACGCATATACATCCTCTCAGTTAACCCTCCTATCATAATGCATCTTAGAAATGCAGGAACCGAGAGTGGAAGGAGAACATCATTTGCTCAGATTTACCCAGTTAGTCATGCTGAAACCAGGACTCAAAACCAGCCTATAGAACTCTAGAGCCCAGGCTTTAGTGATATTCTCTCTACGCTACGTCTCACTGGAATTCATAGATCCTCCCACGGTTCAGAGCCTCCACGGATCTGAGGTTTCACCTCTTAGAGCAACTGGTAAGAGGTGGGAGACCTCGTCCCAGTGTGTGGTGGAGGCACTGACCTTGGACCTGCTGTGCAGAGATGCATGTCCCTTTAGTTCCTGCTCCTCTGGGGTCCCCTACTTGAACTGAGGTAAGAGGTCTAGGGTAGTGGAGAGGGGTCTTTCGGGTTGATCTTCCCAGACAGCTTTGAACTAGATTCCCCAGGAAGACTTCATTTCCTTTTAAAGTTAAGTTTTTTTTCCCGCGTGGTCACAAGTGGTAAGCGAACAAAGAAAGACAGAAGGAAAAGTTACTTCCAGATGGCTCCCCATCTTGCTCTAATGCAGATTAAGTAAAGAATATCCCAACATATCATTAGGCAAACATGAGTATTAAGATCATTCATATTATATAAATGGAACGGAATAAAAATTCAACCTATATCCTGACTTAAATCTGGGGCTAGGGCCTCAGAGCCAGAAAACAGACAACTTATAGCACCCCGGTCTGAGCAAGGTGGAGGCCCACGATACCTGAGGTAAGAGGCAAGACCAAAGTGTTCATAACCTTTCTAGGGTTGGCCACCTGAACTCTAGCTACCAAACTACATCCCTCTGTGGCAAGGGCCTGTTCAAATGGCTACTTAACACTGTTATTCTCCAACTCAACCTACTTGTGTCAAGATACATTTTTAGCAAAACCCCAAGACATCCAGAGCTTCTGAGGCTCTGCATCTCGCCCTGTGCTGTGAGGGCGATGCTGTCTGCCCTCCTCCATAGGCTCACAAGGATAACTTAGTCCTAAGTGCCCAGGACTATGTTTCATGCAGGAGAAGCTCGAAAATACAGAAAACCTGACGGTGGTCCATATCCTAGAAAGTTACCAAAGTGCTGAGAACTCACCAAGTGGCCCTGGAGAGGGAGAAGGCCGAGAGAGGTATGAAGAGAGAGGGCCAGGTTGGCTAAAGGTCCTGAAGGTAGGAATTTTCACTCCATCCTTTGGCTTCATTTCTTTCACTGCAGAAGCCACCCTGGCCCAAGGTGAGGGCGAAGGCTTGCTGGGTTAATAGTGCTCACAGTGCTCAGCTTAGGGCCTGAGTGCTCCCCAGCCCCACCCCAACTGCTCCAACTCCACGCCATCAGGGCTCAGGCCCCAGAAAGTCAGTGTGCCAATCAGTAAGTGATCCAAGTCCCACCACGAATTTAAGATCAACAAGTCTAAGATCAAAGTACCCCGTCATCCAATCAGCAGTGTGATTACATCCTTTGGATCTGTGAAGAAGGGCTGTTGGCCACTTCCTGATAGGAGGTTATGGGCAGACCCCAAATGAGAATTCAGTCCAGTTGTGTCTAGAGGCTAGACAGATGGTGCGGGGCCCCGGGGGTGAGCGATGGTCCAATGCCTTCAATGAGGTTGTTCCATTGGTCATAGTTCTCTTTCAGGCCTGGAAAAAACACACACAAAACCCCAGGAAGGTTAGGTAAGTCATTGTAAGGTTAGAGCAAAGAGTACTGACCACAGACTTGGTGGGCCATCCTAGAGAGAAGCACCTGGGATACTAAAAGGACTGGTTGTGAGGGTGGTAGCAGTAATGGTAACTACTGTACATTCAGTGCCTTTATAAAGATGCTGCATAAGTCATTTGCTTAATCCACAATAACTCAATAATGATAACAAAAAAAGTAACATTTGTTGAAGAATAACTCATTGTAGAATAACTCAATGGACATGCACGGTTTCATTTAATTTTCACAATATCCCTATTAGCTAAGTACTGTGATTAGCCCTACTTTATTGTTGGGGAAACTAGGCTTAAAGACGCTACCTGATTTGTCCAATGTCATTAAGCTGGTAATGACAGAGTTCACACCTTGGTCAGAAAGGGTGAGAAAATGGGAAGCCTACTTCAGGCTCAAATGGTGCTGAGCAAGAAAAGGTCCTTCGTACGCCAGCCAGTGGATGCAAATCCAGGGCCACCTCCGTGAAGGGCAGAAGGAATAGGGTGGCAACATCATGAAGCAGCGTAACACTGGGAATGATCAAGAGAGGGCACTGGGGTCATGGGCAGGTGGGTCTAACTACATGGTAAGAACAGTCAGAAAGGGTCCGCAGCCTCAGGCTGAGGGAGAAGGGCACAGCCGAGCAGGCAAAAGACCTCCGTGTTCAAAACAAACAAAACCTGGGACAGAAGGCAGGGCCCACTGCCTTCATCTTTGGGTCCCAGTGCCTGCAAAGAACCTGGCATGGAATAGGTCCTCAACAAATAAATGCTACATAGTCATTAATTCAAAAAATACTGAACACACCCATGACGTGCCACACTCTGTTCTTGGTTCCAAAAAGTCCATCCACAAATAGAAATCCTCATCCTCATAGAGCTCACAATCCAGTGGGCAGAGATAACAATAAACATCATAAATTATACAGGATGTGAAAAGGTGATCAGTGCTATGGGGGGAAAGAGCCAGATAAGAGAAGCAGTGGTGGTGCCAAGGACGGGGTGAGGGAGGTAGGGAAGGTGTAATGTTTTTAAAAGGCTGGTCAGGGTGGGCCTCACTGGGAAGGTGAGATTTGAGCAAAGACTTGAAGGAGGTGGGAGCGAGCCACGAGACTACACAGGAAGAATGTTCCAGGCAGTGGGAAGAACACTACAAAGGCTGAAGCCAGAGTGTCCCTGGAGTGTTGGAGGCTTGTGTGGCAGGAATGAGGTAGGCCGGGGGAAGAGAGCAGGTGAGCTCAGGAGGCACTGACTGGAGGCCCACATCATCGGGTCTAGCAGGACAATGGACATTGGCTCTGACTCTCAGAGAAATGGAGAGCCACTGGAGGATTCTGAGCAGAGGAGTGATAACATCTGACTTGCTTTCTAACAGATCTCTCTGGCTGTACTATTAAAAAGACTATGTAGGGCCCTGGCCAGTTTGGCTCAGTGGATAGAGCATTGACCTGTGAGCTGAAAGGTCCCGGGTTCAATTCTGATCAAGGGCACATGCCGGGGTTGCAGGCTCAATCCCAGGTGGGGGCATGCAGGAGGCAGCCAATCAATGACTCTCTCTCATCATTGATGTTTCTCTCTCTCTCCCTCTTCCTTCCTCTCTTCCTTCCTCTCTAAAATCAATAAAAAATATATTTTTAAATAAATAATAAATAAATAAAAAGTGACAACACACACACACACACACACAAGATTGTGTAGGGAGGCATGATGACAGTAGAGAGACCAGTAGGAAACTGATACAGTAATTTAAGTTTAGGTGAGAGCTGACTTGCACAGCATGGCAGTTGTGGGGTGACAAGTGATTAGATTCCACATGTATGTGAAAGGTAGAGCTGATAGGACTTTCTGAGGGATGGGATGGGAGGTGTAAGAGAAGAGACATGAATGAGGACATTGGCTTGAGTAACTAGAAGGATGGAGTAACTATTAGTTGAGAAGGGAAAGACTGTAACTGCAACTGGTCTTTGTGATGTTTATTAGATGTTGAATAAGTGGGATATCTAAATCTGATGTTCATGGGAGAGATCAAAATGCAGATATAAACTGGGGACTCGTCAGCCTGGAGATGGCATCTAAAGCCACTAGATGACATTAGGACATAGATAGAGGTCCAAGCGCTGAGCCCTGGAAGCAGCGAAGTAGACGGAGGAGGAGCAGATCCTGAGACAGGAGACAACCACAGTGGGTTGTCTTGGAAGGATGGCATCACAGCTCTGTCAGCAGTGCTGAGAGCTCCGCTGAGATGAAGAATGGGAGCTGACCACTGGATTTAACTAAGGCCTGAGAAAGCATTTGGTCTAGCCCTGCCAAGGCCTTAGGGGTGAGTTAATTAATGTTTGAGCAATATAGCAGGCTAATTTTTAAGTTGATATTTCTTTAAAATATATATATATATTTTACTGATTTCAGAGAGGAAGGGAGAGGAAGAGAAAGAGAGCGAAACATCAGTGATGAGACAGAATCATTGATCGGCTGCCTCCTACACGCCCCGCACTGGGGATGGAGCCTGCAACCTGGCCATGTGCCCTGACCGGAAATCAAACCATGAACTCCTGGTATGTTTCCAAAGGGCCCTTGGCAGAAAAAAGGTTGCCCACCCCCAATCTAAGGTAAAGAGAAAAGAATTGCTGGCACAACCATCTTGAGCAGACCAAAAAGGTGAGGTGTTGGAGGTTTGAAGATAAAGGAGAAGGTGTAAAATAGTCTTCGAGGAGAGGGGAAGAGCAGACCAAAAAGGTGAGGTGTTGGAAGTTTGAAGATAAAGGAGAAGCACCAACCTTCTTGATGGACAATAACATCCCTATGTCACTGGACTATGTGCTCTCGGTGGTATTTTTTAGGATTGGTGAGAAGTTCTGCTCAGCCTCTTCAACCTATTTTAGTTTCCCACGTGACAAGGTACTGTGCGGCCACCAAAAAGCTTTTCTCTCTTTGCAAAGCTAATTAACTGGAGCAGAGAGGCTCTGCTTTTTTTTTTTTTTTTTTTCAGACTCTGTCTTATCTCTCAGCACCTAGATACTTCAGGAGCCTCCCACCCAGGCTCTCTGCCTCTCAACCTGCCCCATCTTGCCCATCCTCCACGTTGCAGCCCAAATGCAAATACAAGTCTAATCATGACATCCCCCTGCTTAGAACCCAAGGACTCTCCCAGCCTGTGGGGGGAAGTTCAAGCTTATTTCAGCAAATACATGGGATTCGAGATCTGGTTTCTGCCCATTTCTCTACCTTCATCTTCCAACAATTCACCATCCTGAGCTCCAGATACACTGAACACGGTTTCTCAAAACTGACCAGGCCCACCCAGGCCTTCGTGCATCCTGTTTAGAAGACCCTTGCCCTCCTCTGCCTGCTGAACCCTAATCACCTGCTAAGATTAAAGATAAGCATCGCTTTGTTTAGGGCAGTGGTCGGCAAACTCATTAGTCAACAGAGCCAAATATCAACAGTACTTCTTCAAAATAGACTCGCCCAGGCTGAAAACCGACTTCTGCGCATGGGCCATGAAGTTTCAATCGCACTGTTCCTGCGCGCCCGCACGTGGTATTTTGTGGAAGAGCCACACTCAAGGGGCCAAAGAGCCGCATGTGGCTCGAGAGCCACAGTTTGCCGACCACTGGTCTAGGGAGCCTCCTTTCTCTCTTGTCTCCCGAAGACTGAGTCCTCGCATCCGTGGGTCATGAGAGTCACTGGCAGAATAGCAGAGGTAAATCAGTGAATCCCTCTAGTCCTTGTAACCCAAAAAGCCTACAATATTAACTTCCAACCATTAAAGTTTCCAGTGGCGGTGAGGGCTGACGCTGTGGCAGGGAGGATATGAGAGGGTATCTCCTAAGGACAGGAGGTGGGACCAAAGACCTCTGCGGGTCTTGCCATTTAGCTGGGGTGATTTATGATATTAGTCACCATCTTCCCGTGCTTTGTTTTTATTAAAGCACGTCTACAAATTTAACCCACTTCTCATCATAACCTCCTCCACCATACAGATAAGTGATGAGTTAGAATAGAGGTAGTGGAGTAGAGAGGTGTGAATATTCCATTTACAGTGAGGAAACCAAGGCTCAGAGAAGTTAAGAGTAGGTCAAGGTCATTGGGGTAGAAGAGACAGAGTCAGGATCTCCAAACTTTCAGCTAAGTGTTATTTCTATACGTCTATGTAACTCTCTCCTTCAGTCAGTTTCCTTTAGCCATAATCTCCCTGATCCGAGACCTATCAGTATAGACTACTGTGCATGGAAATCTAAGGGACCCCAGGCTGCCCCGGAAGTCCCAGTTCTGTCCTTACCAAGGTGCTTCTGCAGAAAGGCCAACATGGCCCGCACCACAATCTCTTGACCTTCATAGGGGTCCAAGGTCCCACGGTTTTGACTGGAGAAGAATTTACCAATCCAGTTCCCAGACACAAAAGCAAAGTCAGTTTGACTCCGATGAACAGAACCACTAGAGGAAAAGAAAAACAAATAACTGGTAGGAGTTTTGAGGTCAGGGAACACAAATATTTGTTAAGCACCTACTATGTGCAAGGTACTTTATGTGCATTATTTCATTTTCACAATAAGGGAAGAATATTCCCCTTTGACAAAATCAGGAGAGAACTGGTCACACAGCTAGTAAGGGGACAGCGCTAGGATTTGAACACAGGTGTGCTTGGCTTCAGAGCTGCCTCAGCTCCTGGACCACAATGCCTGACGGTGCAGGGAAAAGGCTGAGTTAGCCAGACTGGGGACAGGGCCAAGGAGGCGAGGTCTGCAGCACCTGCCATTCCTATGTTATTATAAACTATAACACCACGGCTTTTACCTGGTGACTTCCGAACATTCATAAAACATGTCAGCTCCTGTCTTCAGAACTGTACCACAAAGTAAACAGGAAAAAGGAATTTAAGTGAGGGCAGTGCTTGTAAAAGAGGGTTTCTGGATTAGAATTTAAGTCCTTTGGTATCAAATATATTTACTGCAAAGGTGAAATTCTGACTAGGTTCATTTTGGGCTAAATTACTTAAAACTAAAATTACTAGTCAAATCAATGAGGAAGAAAAATCTAAATGCTAAACTTTGATATCATGCAAAAAAAAAAAAAAGGGGTGACTTTACAAAAATGTCTTTTTTTGCCAGGCCAGCTTGGCTCAGTAGTTGAGCATTCGACCTATGAACTAGGAGATCACAGTTCAATTCTGGGTCACGGCACACGCCCAGGTTGTGGGCTCGATCCCCAGTAGGGGGCCTACAGGAGACAGTCAATCTATGATTCTCTCTTATCTTGATGTTCCTAGCTCTCTCTTCCTCTCCTTTCCTCTCTGAAATCAATAAAAAAATTTTTTAAATGTATTTTTTAAGGCACATGAAAAAGCATAAAGAATAATATAATGGATACTTGAATGTGCAGCACTCAGTTTAAGAAAGAATACATTACCAGCAGTTAAATCCCCCTTGTGTACCCATTTCCAACTGCTCTCACCGCCTTTTCCTCCAGGGGTCACAATGATCCCGAATCTGACTGGTCTGGGGAAACTTCCAAGCAGTCTTCTGTTGCCATGAAATCAGAATGAAAGGGGGGGCTGGCCCCGTGGAAGAGAGCCGGGGCCAAAATGAGCAAGGGAAGAAGCCGCTATTACTGAGCAGATTCCTAGCCTCCCAGGGCTGTGGAGTTGGCATTTCAACTACCTGAAATGGTTTCTGGAAGATTCCAAGGTCTGTGGCATGCAGTTACTTGTTGTTTTGCTTTAATGGGGCCTGGGACCCTTGAAGCATGTATTTTAGGCTCAAGTGCAGGACAGGAACAAGTCACAGCCTTGTCAGCGAGCCTTCAGCCTGCACCTGGAGCTCTAGGCCACTTCCCATGCATGGTATGTTTCTTAAAATTTCTCAAAAATTTTCTGTGAAAAATGGCTTATGAAAGAAAGCTGACAGTGCTGATGATGGAGTGAAAAGACTGTGGTTTCTCTCAGCCAGAATATAGATGGTTTCTGGAAGATGTCTGAATTTAGGTAGTCATGAAGGTCTCTAAAAATCTGTCTTATGAACGTCAAAGGTCTATCATACCCACATTCTTTTTTTTAAATATACATTTTTATTGATTTCAGAGAGGAAGGAAGAGGGAGAGATAGATAGAAACATCAATGATGAGAGAGAATCATTGACTGGCTGCCTCCTGCACGCCCCACAATGGTGATCAAGCCTGCAACTCAGGCATGTGTCCTGACCAGGAATCGAACCATGATCTCCTGGTTTATAGGTCAGTGTTCAACCACTAAGCCATGCTGGCCAGGCTTCACCCACATTCTTCAAAAGACCCAATAAAATTCCCAAATGAGGTTAAAGATCTTTGGAGTCCACCCAGACCCACTTTCCTCCCCAACACACAATCCCACAATACCCTTTTCCCAGAAGTGAACAGACAAATCCTATCACAGAGTCATATAAACTGGTGAAGAAATGACTGTAGAACTAAGTGGAGCAGAGCAGATATGAAATTCTAAAGGAATTAAGATTTCGAAAATCGGGAAGCATTCAGGTATCCCATTAATAGGCAGAGCTTCTGGATAATCCAAAAGTAATCAAGGGAGCTCAGCTGGCAAGAAGATGGCAGGGCACTGGGGACCATGGCCTTGGAGTCTACTTACAGGACAGTGATGATCCTGGACTGCTCATGCTGGGCACACATCTTCTTCATCAGGTTGACACTCTCCACTGTCTGGAACTTCTCAGCATTGATGAAGAATACAGGGCCTCGGGCCTTCGGGTAGAAGTCACGTTCCAGAGGGAACATCCAAGCATCCAGCGCCACAGCACACCTGCAACAGGACCAGACACTGGGAGCTGCCGTGCAGAAGCGGTCAGGGCAATGGGGGGAAGCGTTGAGATCTTCTGAAGGTTCAGAGAGCCAAGGAGGTACCGGGGTCCACACCCTTAGGTTAGGATCTTGGCTAGAGACCACTTTCACCTGTTGCCAAAGATCCTTCTACATTTTAAACTCACTGAGAGCAAGGGTCGGACCTCTCCTCGCCCTGGACCACGCTCAGGCAGCTGCCTTCAGTTACACAGAATGGCACTTCCTTCGTTTAAACCTTCACTCAACATTCTTTGGGTACCGACTATGTGCTTAGCCCTATGCTCTGGATACAGGGATAAATGACACAGTTCTGTTGTTGTTGTTTTTGTTTGAATCCTCACCCGAGGATATTTTTCCATTGATTTTTAGAGAGAGATGAAGGGAGGGGGAGAGACACAGAGAGAAACATCAATTGGTTGCTTCCTACACATGCCTGAACCAGGGTTGGGGAAGGAGCCTGCAACCAAGGTATATGCCCTTGACCGGAATCAATCCTGAGACCCTTCAGTCCACAGGCCGATGCTCTATCCTCTGAGCCAAACCAGCTAGGGCTAAATGACACAGTTCTTGCTCTCAAGGAGTCCCCAGTCGAGAAAGGGAGGCAGGACAGACAAATTAACAAACACAGCTTAGCACCCTGATTGCACAAGTTGCTAAGTGAGCCCAGAGCATATGAGGCAGAGGCTAGGAAAAGCCTCTTGGTGCCACAACTCAGAGATCTAGCCAGTGTGTCAAGCAGTAAACAAGCAGTAACCAAGGGCAAGCCTCCCCCACTCCCACCCCAAATGCTCCTCCAGCCTTCTCCATCTCAGGAAAGGGCGATCATCTTCACTCAAATGATGGATACACAAGTGAAAAACCTTGATTCCTCTCTTTCCTTCACCTCATACATCACATAGTCCTGAAAATTCTAAAACATGTCCTGACTCCATTCATTTCTAGTCATCCCACTGCCTCCATCTTAATGCAAATCCATCATCTCACCTGGACCCCGAAATAGCTCCCTCTAACTAGCCTCTTTGCTTTCTGTCCAGCTACTATCTACTCTTCACACAGTAGCCAGAGGGATCTTTTAAAATGTAAAAAATTGTTTTTTCTCTCCTTAACTCCTTCAATGGCTTCCATCAAATCCTATATAATAAAAGCCTAATATGCAAATTGACCAAATGGCAGAATGACCAGTAGAACGACCAGTCACTATGACGAACACTGACCACCAGGGGGCAGACGCCCAATGCAGGAGCTGCCCCCAGCCCACAGGCCCCAGGCCAGCCAAGGTGAGTGTGAGCAGGGGGGCCCCTGATCAACCCGCCGGTCACCCCACAGATTGGCCCTGATCGCCAGCCAGGCCTAGGGATCCTACCCATGCATGAATTTCGTGCACTGGGCCTCTAGTTTAGAATAAAACCTAACTTCCTTACTCTGACCAAAGGCCCTGTGATCTGCCCTTTTATCTTTCTGATCACATTTTAATCTCTTCCCCTTCACTCACCATGCTCCTCCCACACTGACACAGCAAGCTTCCTTCCACCTCAAGGCCTTTGCATTAGCTGTTCCTCTGCCTAGAATGATCTTCCCTTAGACCTTTATACGGCTGTCCTATTTTATTTTCTTCATTGCACTTTTTGCTGGGGATTTGGTTATTTATTAGCTTGTTTACTAGTCTGTTTCCTCCCACAAATTCCATGAAATCAGAGACCTTATTTTCTTGTTCACCACTAAATTCCCAGCCCCCAAAACAGTGCCTAGTGCATGATACTTACGTAACAAATAGCAGCATTACTGGGAAACTCACCGAAATTGGGTCTCCTTGGCCAAAGCCAGAATAGCTGTGGCCCCTCCAAATGAGTGTCCCATCACAGCCACACAGCTCATGTCGATGCTGCCCTGAGGAAAGCAGAGAACTTAGCCAAGTCAGACACTGCAGAGTGCTTTTTGAGGACTTCTTCAGGGGCAAGAAGAAACAGCAAGACAATGCAGGAAGCACAATTCAGCAAGTGAGTTTCCAGCATCTCCACCCACCCCACCGCATGAAAGACCCTGCCAGCTGGAGAGCAGCCTGCCAGGCAATCCCTGGACTGAACAGCCTTCTGTAGGCAGGAAATCCAAAAACCTGCCATATTTTCTGTCTTTATTTTTATTTATTTTTTTAAATGTATTTTTATTGATTTTTTTACAGAGAGGAAGGGAGAGAGATAGAGAGTTAGAAACATCGATGAGAGAGAAACATCGATCAGCTGCCTCTTGCACACCCCCTACTGGGGATGTGCCCACAACCAAGGTACATGCCCTTGACCGGAATCGAACCCTGGACCCTTCAGTCCACAGGCCAATGCTCTATCCACTGAGCCAAACCGGTCAGGGCCCGTCTTTATTTTTATTTTTTAAAAATATGTTTTATTGATTTTTTACAGAAAGGAAGGGAGAGGGACAGAGAGCTAGAAACATCGATGAGAGAGAAACATTGATCAGCTGCCTCCTGCACACTCCCCACTGGGGATGCGCCTGCAACCAAGGTACATGCCCTTGACCGGAATCGAACCCAGGACCCCTCAGTCCCCAGGCCGACGCTCTTTCCACTGAGCCAAACTGGTTAGGGCCTCCGTCTTTATTTTTGCCATCTTAATACGTACAATACCTGGACTAGAGTAGCCATTCAAATATCTATGAATAGCCCAGCCAGCGTGGCTCAGTGGTTGAACATTGACCTATGAACCAGGAGGTCACAGTTTGATTCCTGGTCAGATCACACACCTGGGTTGCCGGCTCGATCCCCGGTGTAAGGAGTGCAGGAGGCAGCCAATCAACGATTCTCTCTCATATTGATGTTTCTATCTCTCTCTCCCTCTCTATTCCCTCTGAAATCAATGAAAATATGTTAAAAACCTATTTTCCTCATTTAAAAAATACCTATGAATAGATGAATAGATAAAAATTATGTGATTCCAACCTGACCCATCAGTCTAAGAGCACATTAAGAGTAAGAACTCTCTCCATCCGCTAGACCCCTGTCTTAAAACCGGTCCACCAGGATGACACACGCACCAAGTCAAGGGCAGAATGGGGGAGCTCCTGCTGCCCGTCCACTTTGCTCTGAAGCAAGACCTGCCTGTAGAGAAACCAACTCAGGTTCTACTTCCTCTGGGTCTCTGTCCTGACTTTTATCCAGTGGAGTGATGTGCTTGCTGGAACATGCTCTGCACGTACCTATTTCTAATTGCCTCTAGAAGCCTTCAGGGCACAGTTATATAAAGAGCCACTGCAGCTGTCTGCTAAGGGGCTTGGGAAGTCTCTGTAGGCTTCGCTGCCAGCCTCTGCCTTAAACCTGGTTCTCCCCAACTTCTATCCCAAGCTTTTATATTTAAATTCTCCCCCTTTACTCAGTGCTTCCAGCAACTTGGTTGGTGGCCTGTTCAGGTATTTGTATAGGTTAATATAACTCTAAAATCAGGAATAGTCCACCCAGTGTAGCTCAGTGGTTGAGCGGCAACCTATGAACCAGGAGGTCGCGGTTCGATTCTAGGTCAGGGCATATGCTGAGCTTGTGGGCTTGATCCCCAGCAGGGGTCGTGCAAGAGGCAGCCAATTGATGATTCTCTTTCATCATTGATCTTTCTCTTTCTCTCCCTTCCTCTCTGAAGCCAATAAAAATATTTTGAAAAATAAAATAAAATCAAGAGTATACAGAGAAGTCTCCCACCTACCACATTCCCTTTCCACTCCCTGCACCCAAATAGGTAAGTTTCTTACATGTCTTTGAAGAACTTACTGACACATATATGAGTAAACATGAATATATACTTCCCCCCTTTTTACACAAGGGGTATTATATCTTACCCTTTTGCATAATGATGTTAGTACATAAAGAGCTTCCTTATCTTTTTTTTACAGCTACATTTGGTTTCACCATGGTACAAATAGCTAGTGATCTCCAAATCTGTTCCTCTTCTTCCTGGACACATAGCTGTACTCTATTTCCCAGCAGTTGGATGTGGCCTTGTGGCTCTAGCTGATAGAATGTGAGTGAAAGTGAAATCTCTACTTCCAGGCCTAGTCCATGTACACTCCTTCGTGCACACCTCCATGTCCTTTCCCGTTCCTGGCTTAACGCACACAGTGAAGCTGGGTTTCATAAGTGGAAGAGGGTAGAGCTAGAGCAGTGGTTCTCAACCTGTGGGTCGCGACCCCTTTGGAGGTCGAACAACCCTTTCACAGGGGTCGCCTAAGACCATCGGAAAACACATATATAATTACATATTGTTTTTGTGATTAATCACTATGCTTTAATTATGTTCAATTTGTACCAATGAAATTGGGGGTCACCACAACATGAGGAACTGTATTAAAGGGTCGCGGCATTAGGAAGGTTGAGAACCACTGAGCTAGAGGATAAAAGTAGCTTGGGTCCCTGAGCTCCCATTTTTGGACTTCATGTGGGAGAGAAATAAATTTCTATTGTGTTAAGCCACTGAGATTTGGGATTTATGTGTCAGAGCAATTAGCATTACCCAAATGAATACAGCCATTGTTCCATCATCTATTGAACTAGTTCCCTTATTAGTAAACATTTAGGATACGATCAATCTTTTGCTATTACAAACAACACTGGAATGAATAACCTTGTACATATATCATGTTGCATGTGTGCAGATATCTGCAGAATAAATTTCCAAAACTGGAAATTACCTGGTCAAAAAATATGTGCATTTGTAACATTAATAGCTATTGCCAAACTGCCCCACATGGGGCAATCTGCATTCTCATGGGCAATGTAAGATTGTACCTACTTCCCTATAGCTTTGCCAACAAGAATGAGTAATCAATTTTCAGATCTTACTCAGTCTGATAGGTGAAAATGTACCCTTTTTTATTCTGTATTTCTCCAAAAGGCTACCTCTTAACTAACCCAACTACACTGTAGCCTGCCATTCCCCAATGGCATGCAGGCCTGGGAGCCCGCTTAGCTGGTGGGGGCTGGGAAAGCACTCCAGATTCCAGGTTCTGCCTTCCCTACTGACCATCCCGACAGGTGCCTCTTTCTGGAAGGCTTTACCAAAACCTTTAAAAGATAGTTTCTAAAGAGGCTTTGGGGCACACAGCAGTCTTTGGGATCCAAAAACCCAATTTAAATTTTAACTCTACCATTCACTTAGTTGTGTAACCTTGGGAAAATACTTAGCTTCTTTGATCTTTTATTTCTTTCTATGTGAAGAGATGCTAATGCTTACTGCGTGCATTTGTGTGAGCTGCTCTTACATAGTAAGTACTCATAAAACAGTAATTGTTATTTTATATATATTTACTAAATAAAGAAAAGAGGCCACAAAACAGCTTATAGTAAGTAACATTAGATTTTCATATACATATATATCCTAGAGGCCCAATGCATAACATTCGTGCACTGGGGGGCAGGAGAGTCCCTCAGCCCGGCCTGCGCCCTCTGTGTCCAGGACCCCTCAGGGGATATCTGCCTGGCGGCTTAGGCCACTCCCATGGTGGACATCCCCTGAGGGGTCCTTAGCGCTGCACAGAGGCAGGAGAGGCTCCCACCATTGCTGCTGGGCTCACCAGCTATGAGCCCAGCTTCTGGCTGAGCAGCGCTCCCCTGTGGGAGCACACTGACCACCAGTGGACAGCTCCTGTGTTGATAGTCTGCCCCCTGGTGGTCAGTGCACATCATAGCAACCAGTCGTTCTGCCATTTGGTCGATTTGCATATTAGTCTTTTATTATATAGGACTAGAGGCCCGGTGCACAAAAATTTGTGCACTCAGGGGCGGGGGGGGCGGAGGGGTCACCCAGCCCGGCCTGTGCCCTCTCGCAGTCTGGGACCCCTCAGGAGATAACGACTGCTGGCTTAGCTGCTCCGGGTGGCAGAGGGCAGGCCCAATCCCTAG